AAAAAAAAAAAAAGGAAAAAAAAAAAAAAAAGAAAATAGATAATTTCCATTGAGAATGTTATTTATGTTAATGAGATTGTTATTTTTAATTATTTTTATTCTTCAATAAATTATTTTTATTATTAGCTACTAAAATCATTTTATTGATTAAAAGCAAATTATTAAATAGTAATTTTAAAGTTTCTTAGTTTTTCTAATATAATAAGTGTGGTAGCTATAACCCACCTAACAAAAGCTCTTTGGCGTGCTCCGTAACGTTTAGAGTGTAAGAAGGTCCTAAGACCATAACGGTGAACGCTGCTGCCCTGGGTGACTTCGACATGGGTCTTCTGTGCTGACTGAGAAGGGCCTCTCTGTGGCTCGTCCTTCTTACCCTGAAATATGGTCCCAACATATGATTCTGTTTTTCAGAGCCAAGCTGGGGATGCCTCAGTTCCTGAGCACAGAGGCCCAGAGCCTGCTGAGAGCCCTCTTCAAACGGAACCCCTGCAACCGGCTGGGTAAGAGGCTTGCGAGCCCCCCGCCCCACTCCAGCGCAGCTCTCATTGAGCTGCACGATTTACCAAGGCCACCAAAACTGTCCTTCAGTTGGGCTGGAAGTACTCTCACACACTGTCTCGGCTCCGAGGACAGGAGGTCTCTTCATGATTTCTAAACCACGCTGCCGAAATATAAGCTATTTTCTAAAAATCACTGGTTTTACACAAAACGGTGGCACTTTTTCCTACTGATTTTACTTCTCGTAGTTTTGGAAATTCATAAGCTAAGAATAGAGCAATTGAAGAGCTGCTTCTAATTTAATCCCTCTTAAATTAAGAAACTTCAATATCTATTAAAATCCAGATTTACTTTAATATTAATAAAGTCCTGTTTCCTTTTCCTTTTTTTTTTTGAGAATTTATTGGAGATTTGCTCACTTGGTTGGGAAGGTCTTAGGGACTGTTATGGAGACGTCCAAGAGTAGGTCTATAGTCACTGAGCACACGGCACATGAGCAGAGTTCTTTTCAGGTCATTTTGTCACACAAGTAAATGAGCGGAACAAAATCTTTATCATTCTCTTAACTCTAACCTCAGGGAGAGAAGGTACATAATTAAGAAAGGAAGGCACATGTTAAATCAGGAAATATTTCATTTATGGGGGGGGGGAAGACTCTTCTCTCCACATGTCTCAACCCCAGGGGAAGATCAGGCCCTTTAACTTTTCCATTCAGTGTTAATTTCAGAGGTCTTCTGCCTTAATTTGTGAACATTCGGTTATTAAAAATGAAGCTCATATCAAAAGTACTGTCCTGGGCCGAGCCTGTGGCGCACTCGGGAGAGTGCAGTGCTGGGAGTGCAGCAGCACTCCCGCCGTGGGTTCGGATCCTATATAAGGATGACCGGTGCGCTCACAGCGCTCACTGGCTGAACGCGGTGTGGCCGGTCTCAAAAAAGGACAAAAAAAAAAAGTACTGTCCTACTCCACAGGAATACTTCTCCAATATATGAGATTATTTATGTGTAACTGTGATCTTAGGAAAAAGGGGGTCAAGGTGGTGTTTTAAAATCAATATTGACACATTTAAAATAATGAGTAGTTCACATGAATTCATATTGTTATTATTGTATTCAGCTAATCAAATACATTCACGTTCAACCTCTAATCCAGATTTATCATGTATACAAATATTTCTTTCTACGGATTCACGTTCAAAATAATTTTTTCCTTTGCAAAAAGATTTCCCATAGTTGCCATTAAATGGCAGTCCTCCTACCATGTAACCGGATATTTAAAAATTCCACTTTATGAACTTTTCAGTGACTCATCTACTGCAGTTGTCTTTGTCCACTATCTGACCCGCCTTCATTCCTCCACAATGCAGTAAAACAGTCCCTCACTGTCCCCTGTCACTTCTGTATGTACTGAACGCAGTTAGCACGAGGTAGGTGAGGCGCCTTCTGTCCCCAGCACTAGTGAGGCACAGAATCGGCAAAGCCCAGGCCAGGTGGCGTGGCGCCCCACATGCGCAGTCGAAAGGGTAGATCCTGCAATATGTTGGCACTGTGGCAAAGCCCATCAAATTTTAATTGCATACACCTTTTCCCCAGAAGTATGACTTCCGGAAATCTATCCTTCAGACATGCCCGTGCCACCATAAAAGTTATTGTATGAACAATGCTGGAGGTCTTTCTGCTTAGCAAAGACGTGGAGACACGGTAAATGTTGATCAGTAAGGGAACCCTTAAATAACTCATGGTGCGTTCAGACCACAGACACTTAAAAACGTGGTCGAGCTGTAGCAGGCGTCTGCACCATGGTAGGGCACTGCTGGCATTTGGGGCCAGAACATTGTTGTGGGTGCTGTGCTGTGTATTGGGGAGGTTAAGCAGCGTCCTTGGTCTCTACTCACCAGATGACAATCGAATATCTCCAGACACTGGCAAGGCCCCCCAGGGGCATATCTGCTGGTGAGAGTCCCTGTTCTGGAGGTGCTGCCATGGCAGGTGCCCAGAGGGTATAAACCTGCCCTGTGGCAGAGCTTGTACCAGCCACACTGCAGCTCAGCTGTGCAGGGCCCTGGCCCTGCACCCCCCTGGCACAGGCCCTCAATTGGTGTCTGTGAAGAGGACAGTTGTCAGGCAGGTGAGTTTGATTTAAACTAGTGAGCACAGAAACTGCACACGTTGTACAGGGATGCTCGGTCAGAGGGTCCCAGAGCCCAGCCTAAGGGCAGGGGCTGCTCACCTGCCCAGCCAGAGGCAGCTGCCCTAGAGAGGAGCTCCCCGCACTGTCAAGAAGAAGGCAAGGGTCTGCCCAGGGGAGCGGGCAGACCACACCCCGATGGCTGGGGAGATGATGAGGTGGAAGGGTGTGCTGTGGCCCACGCAGGGGACAGAGTGTGTGCATGGTGTGTGTGTGTGTGATGTGTATGTGTGTTATGTGTTTGTGTGGTGGTATGTGGTGGTGGTGTGTGTGTGGCGTGCATGTGTGTGATCTGTGTGGTGTGTCTGTGTGGTGTATGTGTGTGTGTGTGATGTGGGTGGTATGTTGGGAGTGTGTGGTGTGTGTGTGATCTGTGTGGTGTGTGTGTGTGTGTGTGTGTGGTGTGTGTGGTGGCACATGTGATGTGTGTGCTGTGTGTGTGTATGTAAATGCTTATGTGTAGGCTGGGTTCACAGTTTGGAGGCACCTGAAACTAAACAGCGTCATCACTGGGGCCTCTCGGCTAAGTCGCAGGTGGGGCCTGAGACCTCTGGCCGAGCGTCTTGGCAAGTCTCCGTTGTCTGGGGCTGAGGGTCTGACAGCCGCGGCTCAGCAGGTGCCTGGTCATGTTTCCACGCATGCGGCTCCTGGGTTAAGAGCGCCGCTTGCTGTGCCTTGTGCGGCCGTCCCTGTAGGTAAATGTCACAGCTGGGGAAGGAGCCAGTGGCTCGGTGCTCACCTCTATCGGGCAGTCCCTGTACCCACCATGGCCTCTGCAGGCAAGACCCTCACATCCTGAGGGCCGGAGTAGAGGGCTGGGTGGTGAAGGCGGGACGCCGGGGTCCTGTGCCTGACGCTCTGCGGTGAAGTCTATCGGGCAGTCCCTGTACCCACCATGGCCTCTGCAGGCAAGACCCTCACATCCTGAGGGCCGGGGTAGAGGGCTGGGTGGTGAAGGCGGGACGCCGGGGTCCTGTGCCTGACGCTCTGCGGTGAAGTCTTCATCTGCCTGTGGTTTTATCAGATCCAGGTGTGGTGTGGCCCATGGTGGGAGCGGGTGCCAAGTTGTGCAGACCCCTGGTCATCACTGCGCTGTCAGAAGAGGCGGCAGGGCATCTTTCCTAACTGGAGGATACCTTTGGAGGCGGAGGCCGAGTGAAGACAGTCAACCAGTCAAGTCGACTCGTTGCCACGCCCTCTGATTTGTGTGTAAACGTCCCATCAAAGCCCATAATTGTCTGCCCACTTCTCACCTGACTTTCCCAGATCGTGAATTAAGTTAAGTGCCCTTCGTTAAAGTCTCCACAAACACCAAGAGTGGGGCTGAGATAACCCTCCCTGTGTGGAGGGATTAGGTGCTCGCTGTCAGGAACTCGCAGCCTGTATCAGCAGATCTGAACCCACTCCAGAACATGCCTGCCTCAAAGTCTGGTTTGCAACCCTGTGAACCACCACAAAATGCACATCAGCGTCTTTGCATGTCATTTCTGTGTTTTTCTAACCCTGAAGCCCACCCACAGTTTAGAGCCCCTGGTCTGGTTTCATCAATGTTATAAATATCTGATGCAACCAGTTATTTTTAATTGCCCTGATTCTGTGACTCCTTCCCGAGTGCTCCACACTGTCCAGCGTAAGCATGGCCTCTCTGCACAGCCCTGAGAGGCCAACAGGCGAGAGGCGGGACATGGCAGGTGCATAGCCTCTGACGTTCCTCTGCCCCAGCGGTTTTTAATAAACCAGGTTTTCCTTTGCAAAAAGATTTCCCATAGTTGCCATTAAATGGCAGTCCTCCTACCATGTAACCGGATATTTAAAAATTCCACTTTATGAACTTTTCAGTGACTCATCATGCACTCACTGGGCTTGTTATTTACAAAGTGTTTTTCCACTAGCAACTTTCAAAATCTTGCAATTGTTTAGCATTTCACACCTTCAAGAAGTTCACATCTGTTGTCTCCTCCAGTCCTCATGGCAGTGCTGGAAGGCTGGGTTCATCACTTTATGTCTGAGCAAAGCTCTGCTCAGACACGCCGGGGTTTGTGCTCAGCCCCTCTACGTGCAGGCGCTGGCTCCGGTCTGCCCCTCCCGGCCCGCTGGAGAAAGAAGTGCAGCCGTCAGGGACAGTTCCATCCCCTCTCTCGACTGGGACCACCAACACGTCCCCTCTTGGTGAGCTTCTGGGAAGACATGTGTCTTTTAGTAAGGACTTAGCTTGCCCTTAATTTTAAAAAGGGAAAAACGGACCCTACTCACCTAATTCTTTGTAAGCATGACGTTTTGGCTCCCCAAGTTTAAAAATCAATGTTTCTGATCCTTCCAGAGTCTATAAGAGAAGGCAGGTCCCATCTTCCTTCCACTAGCATGTTTGAGCACGTTTGAGGGCTGTCCTGCTAGAAGCGTGTGCGTTCTCAGGTGTTGGCGTGGCAGGACACGGGGAAGCAGGACCACAGATAGCCACGACCCTTGCCGTGGGAGCCTCTGAATCCTAGAACAGATCCAGCTGTGCCAGCCAAGTGGCCTTGACCCAGTCACTCCACTTCCCCAGGAAATGCAGTTGGGGTAGATGGTCCCTGTGATTCCCCCAGCTGCAGAAGCGTGGGGTTCCACATGTCCTCTCCCCACTGCCGTGGGTGTCCTGAGTCATCTCGTCCCTGGTGAGGCGCAATGCACCCTATAAAACTGGCCCCATCGGAGCCACCCTCTAGGCCCCGTGGTCATCAGAGTGTAAGGTTCGGGGCACCTTGTACTTTTGGCTTTTCAGGAATGCCTGCTTTGTTCAGGCAATTTGGGAAGTATTTGAACTCCAGATTGAAAGTCTCCAGACCAAGATGGCCACCTTTGCTGAGGATACTCCCTTTGGGGAGGTAACATTAAAACCGATCCCCCAAATTTGCCTCTATGGTGGTGGCATCCTGGAGAGAGGCGTGAACTCATCTCCCGTGTTCAGGGATGTGGCGTCTTCTCCCTCTTTCCTTTCCCTCCAGGTCTCCAGTCCCTCCTCCCCCCAAGAATGTTTCACTTACTGTAACTGGATAAGTTCATGCCTGTTTTCATTTTTACAGCTTGGGTGGGTTTTTTCCTTCTCTAATGACCGACTCTGTGGAGTCAGCTTGAGAGACGTACCTGGTCCTCCTGTTTCCTCACCGACACCTGGAACTTCACGGGGTCAGAGCCCTAATACCACAAGGCTGCGGTAGGACTGACTTGGCAGCCCCATCACTCCTGCTAGCTCTCATTTTCTACGACAAGGAAGAAATAAATACACGTTTAGAGAATTATTTCCTTCCTCCGGATCTAAGGCGAACTCACATACAGCCCCCCCATGCACCCACTCCTCCCAAACACAGTTCTGTTCATGGAATGTGCCAGATGCGGCCGAGGTTGAAAGGGAAGAGCGGTGTCTCTGGAAAACCGCTGATGACACCAGGTCTTGAGCTTGAGATTTGTCTGTTGGACCCCAAATAGCTGATGCAGAATTTTCTGCTAGAAACTGGTGAAAACACAAGTAAAATAAGAATGAACCAAGACTTCCAATCAGTTCCATTTCAGAGGGGGCTTTGGCTTGTTTCTAGAACAATGTCAGACGTCAGTATCCTGTTTAAAAGCCATAAATTAGAGTTAAGCATTCATGGCCTATTTATTTTTAATCTTTGCAACAGAAAAGGACACGTGTAGCTTTTCTGAGTCTTAAGTAGAAGTTGAAAAGGTTTTTCAGGAAAATCTCCTATATCTCTGCTTGTATTTCTGATAAGAGTACTCTCAGTTGGCCTGTTAAACTAGAAAAGTGAACTACTTTAGTTCATAGTCTGATGCTTTTTTACCTTAATTTGAGCTGAGGATATAATTTTTCTCTCTTCCCCTGCAGAGAACTCCCCAAAATTTCACTGTAGTTAGATTTAATGAATTGTGCAAAAATCTCAACATAGTTGTTTTCATTGAATTTTATACAGAATTTTCATTCTGTAGAAAAATTAGATTAGAAGGATCCTGACTTAGAAAAATACTACAAGAAAGATAATTATATAAAATCACGCTCTTAAATAATATAAGATTATATTTATCAGATCCAAAGCATCTAGCAAGGGTTTAGGTTTTTACCTAAAGACATCTGTATCTCATGAAAGGGCTATTTTTTTAAAAAGTTTTATCGAATCAAAATTGATTATACATATTTTTGGGGTTCAACATTGAGATATGTTGATCAAATCAATATTACTAGCATATACATTGTTACAAATTGCTATTATTCTTTATGTCCCTTGTCCAATCTCTCCCCATCCCCCCTTCCCTCCCCCTCCCCCCTCTAATTTCCCTAGATTTCTTCTCTCCCTCTGAAAGAATAACGGTTACTCTGTTCATTTGTTGCCTAGATGATCTGTCCAATGCTGACAGTTGTGATCAGGTCCCCCAGTATTATCATAGAGCAGCTGCTTCTTCTGTCACTCTGAAATGGGCTTTATGGAGAGAGACGTCCTCTTCTTTTCTTTATCTCTGCTGGTGACTCTCCCTGTGTCAATGCACTCTAGTGGTTGGCAGACCATCTGCATGGAGGTTGTGGCATCTAGCCACTTTCGTGGCAGCTATGGTTATTGTGGTGGCTGTGGTGGACCACCCACATGGAGATGATGTTTTTGGCATGCTCCTTGGTGCTGGTGGTGTGTCTGGTTGTGGGGAGTGACTGGTTCCTGGCTCCATACCTCGGGTCCCCGGGCAGGCCCCAAGGCACTGGTGCGGTGTGCCTGGTTGTGGGAGGGGTGTCTGGTTCTCCATGCCTCAGGTCCCTGGGTGGCCCCAAGGTGCTGGTGCAGTGTGTCTGGTTGTGGGAAGGGGGCCCAGTCCCAGGCTCCATGTCCCGGGCTGGGCCCCTGGGTGGGGCCCCAAGGCACTGGTGGTGTGAGTGGTTGTGGGCAGAGGTCCATTCCCTGGCTCCATGGCTCAGGTCACCTGGAGGGACCCAAGGCATTGCTGGTGTGCCTGGGCCAGAACTAATTTTTTGTCCTTTGCTTACTTCTAAAATGGGAGAACTTCCTGTGGGCACCAGTACTTGAGCTGTGTGGTTGAGCTAAATTGCTTCTTTGCTGCTGTTTCCCTGGGGAAGGCTTTTTGTGTAGCTCAGGGTTTAATGGTTGACTTTATAGGTACTTCTGGCTCTCCAGAGACCTGGTGGATCTGGGTTGTGTAGAAACTCTGATCTGGGCCTGAGATTTTTCATCAAACTGCACCCCATGCAATACTGTATTCCTGACCAGTCTCCTCTGAGTGGTCCTGCACTGATTGGGGGGCTGGTCAGCTGTCCTTCCTGTGTCCCAGTGTTCTCCAGGTGGGCCTGTCTCCCCCACTGCCCATGCTCCAAACACTTCCCATGGGCAGGCCCTGCACCGGTCCCCTGCGTTGACTCACCGGCCTCTGAATGGCTCCCTTTTTTCAGTTGTTCTGGATCCTCACTCCTACATGGGTCCACGGGAGCCCTATTGGTGGTCTTGAGATCTTGGGGGCCACCATGGCCCTCTTCTCCCCTGCTGCCTCCAAGCAAATTCATCTGAAGGGCACAGCTGTGGCTTCTGCCAGCTCCTGCTCCATGCGCTCAGCAGCTCCAGCCTTAAAGCGGCTGCAGCCTGAAATGCTCAGAGCAGTTTTTTCTTTCTCTCATCTTGGTTTCTCCTGCCTTCATGAACTCCGTAGGTCTCTCCTCCTCTTCTACTGAGCTCCAGTGGCCCCATCTTGGCTGTTGTTACATTTTTATAGTTGTAAATTGGTTGATTTGTTGGAGAGAGTGACGCTGCGGATTGTCTATCCCACCATCTTGACTGGAACCGAAAAGTCTATTTAAAACACTAATTTTGTTGTTTTCCATGAGTTTTAGGGGCTATTTTATTCCCTTCTTACCTTTCTCAGAAGAGTTCTAGCCCGTTTTTACCTCTCAGGTTACATGGAAGCAAATGTTTGATCACACCCAGTGCAGGTGAGGTTGAGGTGGCAGAAGCCACTCTCCAGTTGGAGGTGGACATTTATTTGTACCCCCTTCTCATCAGCCAGTTTGAAGAGTCTCTGTCAAAATGTTTACAGCACATGACCTTTATCCAAGTAATTCCACTTCCAGGAATGTAGCCTTCAAATTCATTGCCACAGGTGCTCAGAGCTGTGTGAGAAGCTCCCTCCCATCCCCCACAGATGGTCAGTGAGACACGGTCCCCTGCAGCCCCGAGGAGCATGGTGGTCTGCAAGCGCCCACATGGAGGGAGCACCCAGAGTGCTGCTGGCAGTGTTTGCAGAGGTGGAGGTTGGGGTGGGGGGTGAAGCAAGAAAATTTCCGAAAAAACGTGCAGGAGCAGCTATGAATAGTGAGCATAGCTCACAGCGGGGGCGGTGGGGGGACTTTCACCTCCTACTCATCAGTAGCTTGATTTGTTTTTCTTTTTTACTAATAATGTGTATTATTTTTATGATTAAACACATAGTTTTTAAAAAGCTATTTTGAGGGAAAACATTTGATAATCAGAGACATCTGTGCAATGAGCAAGTCCACAGCCTGCCTAGGAGTTGCTGTCACTGCCACCCCGCCATCAGGAGGGGAGTGAGCTTAACACAGGTCGTCTAGAAATGACACGCCCCTCCATGGCTTCCTCGTCCCTGCACTCGCTTGTGTGCTGGGCTCTGAGGGCACAGTTGAGCAAAGGTGCAGTCCTCATCC